GAGACACTTTGAACTACAATCAACCCAAATCTCTAATAGCGAAGATTTTTTTTTCTGAGTTATGATATTTTATAGAAAATATACGTTTTTTGTGGTACATACTACAATATTCTTATATTGTTTAACTAAATGGAACATATGTATGTAATATATCAGCAAAAAGTACAGCCGTGATAATTTTTTGTGTATCAAATAGATATTAGAACACACTTTCCACCATACAGTTTCGAAATACAAAATCACATTTTCCCGCTTTTTATAATCGAAACTGTATGGTGGAAAGTGTGTTCTGAAAATAGTTTATACTATTCCCTAATAGACAAAAAACTTTGAGAGAAAAAAGAGATGTGGCAATTTGAAAAAAAATTTTTTTTGTTTGTTTATAAACAATAATTAATTATTAACAAACAATTACTGATGTTTAGTTCACTAGATCGATTCAGTAGATCAATATCTGCAATTTAAAAAAAAATCGTTAAAATCCTTGCTTTTTTGCGGCAGTTATAAACGATTTCATCAAAAGTTGCTATTAAGAGAGGAAAAAAGAAGCGTTCGTACTCAAAAAGAAAAAAATTCATCATTCGAAAAATTCGCATTTCTGAGCAAAAAGAAAAAAAAAATACGTAACAATCCCTATGAGTTTTATCGCAAACTTAATTCACTTTCCCCCGGCCTGGGTCATTTTAGATGGATTGGGCCACATACATATTTCTACCTAAATGTGAAAAGGTGCCAAGTCCATTTTTTTTATAGGTATCGGACAAAAGAAAAAATTGGGCATATTTAGCAAGAAATAAGTGAAGAGTAAAAACATTCCTGAGTTAATTTAAGAGTCCAGTAATTTTAAAGGAATGTAAACAGAACAAATCACTGATAGACATTGTATGTATTTGTAATAAAATAACAAGGATGATGCCTTAAACCTTTGGTTTGACACAATTATGCAGTGTTGCCACAAACAAATTACCAGATTCCTCAAAAACAAATGGGAAATCCTCAAAATCTGAACAAATTACTCAAAATTTTCTTATTACAGATATGAGATTGTTACTGCATAATATTTACAGGTACTTAGTATAAACATTAATTACATTCTCCAATTCAATTGGTACATTTGTTCTAGCGGTTCAAACCAAGTATCACCGTTACTTGTTATGCCTTGGTTTGTATATAATATTGCTGCAACTATATCAGTGCTCAATCTGGTCCTCAAGTCAGTCATACACATTTTTAAACTACTAAATATACGTTCTACTGAAGCAATATATTAGTAATGCAGATATAATTATTTTTAATTGGAAAGCTTATGTATATGAACCTGAGGAATACTTCTAAGTCAAAAACTTTTTTCCTTTAATTTTCTGGATCTAACGTAGAATCAGTATGAATATCCTTATGATCGAACAATGCGTTTTCTCTCCATTCGTTACCGAGATTTTGCAAGTTCAAAATAAGTTGAAAATATAACGATGGAATGAAAAAAAATATTGATAACATTTTGAAAAACACCACATAAGCCGCTTGACAAACCTAGCGAAATATCCCTTTCCTTAAAGCTATTTATGTTGTGTATGGGGGTGTTTAAGGTTTGACCAGCTGTTTGAGGGAAATGTGAATAAAAATCAAAATTTTTTGATTTTCTGGCCGCCATATTGACGTTTGATCAAACTGCTTACGTTGTGCATGACAAAATCGCCTCATTCGCAACGGAATTTTTACCGAATGAGGACGCAAGAGAGAAAAATCAAAGAAAACCAAATCCTTTTAGATTGTGAACCGGAAGAAAACTTAAATTCTTTGCTTGAACGAGTCATGTTTGCATGATGTATGGCGAAATGGGAAAAGTAGGTTTGAAGAATGTTTGACAAGTCGCTTGTGTGGTATATTTCGCTCTTTATAAAACTAAACGTAAAGCTTTTTGTTCAAAAATTTGCAGAGCCATTTAACAACTCTCTTGTATAAAACATGGTTGCATTTGTTATCTGCAAATATGTATGTCAAGAGAAAATTCCTCAAAAATTTCTCAAAATAAAAATCATCAAAAAATACTCAAGCGCACCCGAAATTCCTTACGTTTTGAGGAATTACTCACAAAGTGGCAACACTGCAATGATGACTCTAGTTTAACCAAATTTAATTTACAATTTCTTAAACCTCCTTCGTCTGACTCCCATATAGTGGTACCAATCTATTTCAATTACCTAATTCCTTTAATTCAAATGGAATTTAATTTTTTAAACAGGTGGCAATCCTCTACATGTAGTTAAGAAATAAACCCTTTGCGTGCATATATTCAATTGATACTCATCTCTTAATAATTCTTTGAACTTATTAAAAAATTTGAATTGAAATTTCTATTGTCTGTAGGTCAAGCTTTTTAATCTGACATTTCATTTTTGAAAAAAGAACGAATCGTGC